TTCACTTATTATTTGGTCAAAAATTATAATTTTAAAAGTTTTGGCATATTCTTTTAATTTGACTACAAAAATTGGCCTGTTTACATAATTCTCCCTTTTTTAATATAGCATTTTGAATAAGGAAGTTAAGAAACGATTGAGTTTTTTGATAGGGTCAAACGTAAAGTTATTGGAAATCGAACTAAAATTTAACTATATTTAGTTTCTATTACATTAACTTAGACACTTTAGTTACATCACCAAAGCAAAATTCTCTGCAAATATTTTTGTTTATGGGTTATGAACCGAATTCAAACCAAACCCGACAGTAATCTGATTACAAGAGGAACAATCATATATCCGATTTTATGCGTCTCATGTCATGTTATGCTACAACACATAAACTTCATTGTCATTGCTTGGTTTAGGACTGCTTGTGATAATAGCGAGCTGCGAGATGCGGAAGTAGATTCTGCGGCTGAGAATGATGTAACCAACACCAGTAGTGAGATAATCCTAACTTCTCTTTGGTCTAACAGAGTTTCTTCTAACAATCACAAATGGATATTCTTGAAATCAGATTAATCTTAAAATGAGATAAATTAGTCTTGTTTCTTGGAAATGTTAGATTCACTACACATTTGCTGCTTGTGCAATGGATGGATCAAAACGGATTGATGCAGAGGATGTTAGATTCTCTTCTATTGTGAAATTTTCTCCTGGATTCTAAGATTGGCAAGTATTTTCGTATGGAAATGGCAGAGACTTCTTTATCGGTCCCCATATGAGGATTTGAGATCCATGGAAGCGTACAAGAGACTGGAGAAGAGAGCTGTTGCTTGTATCCATTTAATTTGATGTCTTTCGAGAGGATTGTTTGTTTTAGGAATGTTATGAATTTGCCTTAAAAAATTGAAAGAGTTTCTTTTGCAACTTCAGGTCATATTTTATAAAGAGTTACGGGAAGGTGTTTTTCAAGAGAGGTCTCGGCCTACGAGAGAGGGGAATTGGTGGAACCTAATGATGTGTATGTAGCTAGGAGGAGATTAGATGAGCTTTGTGTTGATTGAGTCCTAGAATAAAGCTAATGTTGATGCACAGTTGGTTAGCTACAGAAATGGATTGGATGACAAAAATAATGAAATCGGATTTGTGCGTGAGTATGTCACTATAGCCTTCTTCTGATGGGCTTTATAGCCAAATGAAGATGTTCTTGAGCATTTTCTCCTCTAATGGCAGATAATGTTTCCGGAAATTTAATCCACAAGGACTGATGATGAAGATTGTGAAAAGATGCTGCTTTCACTGGGATGGATTACAGAATCTTGATATGATTGTGAAGCTCGCTTTCGCTTACTGTGCCAATTTGAATGGAAGCAAGATGCCAACTACAAGATTGCTTGCTTCAGCTGCAAGATATATACACTTTGGCTATTACTCTTTCTCATCAGCAATATTCCTTAACCAGATCCCAGGGGCTTCGAGTCATCATCCTCTCTCTAGATGGAGGTAGGGGAAAAGTAAGCATTCTGCCACAGCTTGATAGCCAAGGTTATGTCAAGAATGTTATTGCTTGCCAAGGTTATTCTCCTTTTCCTACTAACGAGACTTGTTTGTTTTACCACAGAACTACAAGGCTCAGAGGAATGCGGTTCTGTGCGCTGCAGGAATTGTTCTCTACCGGTAACATCATCAGCTATTTTCACTCACACGCACACACAAAAGTTCTCCGCGTAATTCACAGTTATCATCAGCTATTTGTTTTGATTGACAGGTGAATTTACCCCATCTGCAAGTATAACAAGGACATAGAGCTCTTGGAGGCAACAGGGAAGAGATACAAGGAACAGTAATCTCTTGACGAGTGAAAAAAAGGAACAGAGAGAGTTGGTTCCTCAAAACCATTATATAAGTAAAAAACTCTTACTGCATTTTCACATTCGATTAGTACTACAAAACCTGCACAAAACTCAAGTATGAAGAAGAGCTTAGTAGATTGTATATAATTCATTAGTGCTCGTTTCATTCTCTGCATCTTGATTTATTCTTTCAGGAGCTATTCTCCACGTCCAGAATTCTCATATACAGATTCGTTACACCAACTCCATTAAACCAACGCTGAACAAAGCAAAATGTCAGTCTCCCTCATCAGACAGACAGAGATAGTTTAACTACTTTTTACTCAAGGATTGTCTGTTAACATATCGTAATTTGGTCGTTAAGATTTGTGATCAAAGAAATTAACACTTGTTTTTTGTTAGCTAGAAAGTGCAGCAATCATAGAATCCACAGCCTAACAACAAGACACAAACTAAAGAGAGTGCAATATTACCTAATTGGTCGCCAAAACATCAAGCTAAAATAGTCTTTAAACATAACCAGACCAGAATATAAAACTCAAGTGCTCATCATACCAGAGGCCATTTGAGGACATCCTCCAAAATTTAGGTTTAGATTGGTATTTGCTTTTTTGGCTGCGTTGATATTTTGCTCGGTTTCTAATTGCAGTTTTAATTGTTACACCATGTATAGATCAAACAAACACAACTACAGTGGATCATTCAAAAACCAGCATGTATCTTTTCGTGCGTAAAGACAGACGGATAAAAAAGTCAGGGGAAAGATCCTGTAAACCAAAGAAGAATGCGTCGGAACAGATGTGTGGCTACATATTACATGTACATGATCGCATATCTTAGATTTTGGCTCATACTAGAGGAGTTAACAAACTGGTATATATATGTACGACTCGGGAATAAACACACAAGAAAACATATAAACCGGTTACCACCAACCTCAATCTTAAGGACAAGCACTGGGAAACGTATTTTGGTATGATACCCAAGCATTTCATAAAGCCCAGAGTTAAAGAACAAGAGTACAGAAACGTAAATCATTCGTCCCAAGAGGGAAACCGAAAACGTAGCTGAATACCCAAGAATGCCTTTTCATCCGCTTCTTAGAACCTCTTGTACTACTCATACGTTGAAGTTCAACTGGTATATTGTCGTTTTATGCTCAACAACCTGAAGAACCTCTTGTACACAGAGGTTTGAAATCTCCACCGAATTCACATTCCCTCAAAACAAGTTTGACAGGAACGACTTCAAAAAAGAATGCTTTGGAACAGATGTTATTGTTCCCTGCAAGGAATGTGTGGGTACATATTCATCACATATTATATCTTAGCTTGTTGGCTCATATCAGAGCAGTTAACAAAACTGGTATAGATGCAGAACTCAGGAATATACAAACAAGTGAAGCAAGAAGACATATAAAATCAGTTACCAACCTCAAACTTAAGGTCATACTTGTCCATCAGCGGGGACAAGCACTCGGAAACGTCTTGGGGATGATAGAGAGATCAGAATACACAGACAAGGTTAATAGCGTTGTGATCCTTGATGTTCTCAGGATGCTCAAAAGACATATATATTAGCCTCTTCACCATTAGCTTCACCTTGTCCGACCTTTGTATGTAATTATTCTACCCTGTACATGTGATGAACAGGTCTAGTAGGAGATAGTTTTTCAAATCTTTTTTGTTCAAGGTTTTTCGACCTTTCTTTGGTTTTCCGTAATATTTTGAAACCCTTTTTTTAATAGTTATGTTTGGATATATTTAGTACCTTTTCACATCTCTTTTCAAGCTCAAAACCAGCCATTAAAAGGATTCATAATCAACAATGAACACTTTAAATTTAAACATAGACAAAAACTTCAATGGGGAAAATGAGTTCTCTACAACATTCAACATTTTTCTCAAAAGGAAAGAAAACGATTTAAAATTGAAGACCGTGTTCACGAGCTGCAGCGGCAAGAGCTTCAATGCGTCCATGGTAAGGGTAACCACCACGGTCAAAGGCTACCTTTGTGATCCCTTTCTCCAAGCAAGATTTCGCTATAACTTCCCCAACTTTCTTCGCTACCTCCTACTCAACACCAAACCATAATGTGGAAATATCAGGTTTTTAGGCACGAAAAGAGAAATCATAAGGAGGTCAAGTGACTCGTGTGGTGCTAAATGGTTTACTAAAGATTCATCTCTCAACCATTTCGCACATACAAAATTTAGAGAGAATCTTCTACTCGATACATAAAAACCACTGTTCTCATTGCAAACCATAACGAAGAGTATCAGAAATTCAGTATAAGCCCAAATGTGCTAAATGGTTACAAAAGATTCATCTCTCAATCAAGATGCCTACTTGCAAACCCCGAATTCGAAAGCTGAGTAAACGATGGAAACTTACAATGGTTGGTCCAGAAGTGTAGTCGAACTCCTCAGAGATAGGTTTCTGCTTAGTGGAGGCAGAAGCTAAAGTGTGCATCTTAGTATCATCAATCACTTGGACATAAAGATGCTTGTTAGAGCGGAAAACGCAGAGCCTCGGCCTCTCTGTCGTACCGTTAACCTACACGAAATGCAAACGGTAAAGCGTAAAAAAAACCAAGATTCATGGAAATAAAGAAGCATCAAACCCCAGAAAATCTGCTCATAACAACATCAAAACAACACAATGAAATACCATTTTTCTAACTTTGTTAGAACTGATTACAGATTTGTCGGAGAAGAAACATCATGGCTTTATTTCACTATGCCATTATAGCTCCATTATTCAAGAGATACATTGTGTTCTTCGGCTATTTATATCTCTCAAAACACCAAATTTCAACACAATTCTGATTTACTTCCCCTAAAACTTGTCCGAACAACAATAAACACTGTCCTAAAGAGCAATTAACGAAGAAGCAAAATGAAATTAAGAGAGAGAGAGAGAAGAAACAGTTACCTTCTTACGGATACGAGAATGTCGGGCGATTCGGTCTTCGCTGCTGGTTTTGGTTTTGGCTTCAACAACCATGGACCGAGACT